AGAGAATACTACTTTGTCTCCTTCAAATAATTGGAGCATAATTGACTTTTCCATTTATTAGGAAAAATAAATCAAATTTATCATGTATTAGGAATAGAAAACCTTGATTTAAAAAAATAAAAGAAAAAATTAAAAATTAGTGCTTTCCACGTGTACCTGTTTTTGAGTGGGGACAATTGTGCCTGGATGAATAGCACAACCCATGTAACTTAATGTAACATTAGTAACAATATACCTCATTTTAAATCGATGTAATCAAAACATATGTAACCAAAAACTTGTGAGGGAAAATTATCCACCTTGAAGTTGAAGATGAGTTTTCTGTTCCAATAAAAGTTTACCAATAAGATTACCTTAGGGAAAATTAAAGTACTAAGTTAATAATCTTGACCAACAAAGTTAGTAGGTGAGGCAGTGGCGGCTGCCTGCGTTGAGGTGGTCGAACAATTTATATGACGACCTCTACAGATTAGTCTACGAATGTGAACGAGAAATATGGAAAAGAATATAATTTATAAATGGTGACGAGGAGTTTCTAACCTTCGTTCTATTTTTCCAAAGTGATAGAGAATGAATATAACTCAAAAAGGTGAGAGAGTCATCTTTAACTTGACAAGTCATCACTTCGTGCTCGATTATTTCCATTTTAGTTTGCTGTCTTGTAATTTTCCATATTCTTATAGAAAATGAAGTGTGGAAATGTACAGACTACATGGGTTCAGTTGGTGAAGAATAAGACAGCAGAAGTCTAAAATTGGCAGGGAATATTAATATACCAAAAACAGAGAGGTTTCATAAACGACGTCGTGTCAGCACAAATTGGAGTAGGGAAAAACACAATGTTGTGTCTGAGCCCGGGTTCGAACCGGGGACCTCTAGTGTGTGAGACTAGCGTGATAACCGACTACACCACCCAGACAACTTTAATTTGTGTTCTATATTTTTATTTCCCAACTAGAATGTAACACTACAACTAATATGTTTGGTAAAACTTTTGAGTGCTTATGAGTTATAAGTAATGAGTCTTATAAAGTGTGTGGATAGTAAGTTATGAATTCTATAATGTGAGTGAATAAAAAAGTTTGCTCGATCAACTCAAAAAAGTTATACTTTGCCAAACATGCTAACCGACTAATCATTTGGGTAGTAGTGAGAGTATAGATATAAAACAACTAAACAAGTCATTTCGATTATACGAAGTTGGCCATCCACTAATTTTTTAAAAATACTTTATGTGCAAAATCATACTTTTTAAAATTCGAATAATATATCAGTAATTGAAATAGAAGTATAAAATAGGTCAAGTTAATTTTAAGAATTTGGGTGAGAGTAGCCAACCACCAATTTTTATTATATGTTGCACAATTTTTTTCCTAAGAATTATTAAATAAAAGATAATAAACAATGTTTTATGGTGTCAATATTTTTAGGGAAATCCTAAATACACAGTTTTTTTTCCTCAAAACTTATTTTCTTTTACTCTCACTATTCACTACCAAATTAATCACAACGCCCCCTTATTCTTTCAAAAATGCCTAGAAGTTGGGTTATTATAGACCGATCCGCCTACAACCACATATGATTCTCACCCATTACAAATTCGAACCAATCCCTTTCAAATTATAGTTCACGTTAGACCTAGCCCGTCTCCAAAATCAGACCCACCCCATCAAGTCCCCGGTTGGGCCAAGCTAAAGAGATCTGGGTTCAGCCCGTCTGTAAACACTATCACTATTCCAAAACATTTTTTTAAAGCAATTTCAATTAAGTCATAATTGAAAAAATAAAAATATTGCATGAGATTGAAACTTGTGAGAAAAATGCAGTAGGTATTAGTATTTATACCAGGAAAACTGAATCTTTAGAAAACAAAAAATACATATTATTTAGAAAGAAATAGTCGTTTGTTGGGAATGGAAAGAGAGCTCAAAATTACATTTACTTGAAAATTTCAAAAGTAGACATCCA